GAGAGTTGTGATTATCAACTTTCTTTCACAAGGGCGTGAATTTGGATTATAAGCAATTAAAAAGAACAATGTAAGAGACTATAGGGGTTTAAATATAAAGGGAAAGAATATATTATAAGAAACCAAAAGGAATACCATAGAGGTTTAAATATAGAAAGAAAAAGCTCATTTTTCCAATTGGTTAAGGATCTTGGAATATTTAGGGTTAAGCATCTTTAGATTAGAATAGTACTAAACTGAATGACTTTCTGAGAAGTCCAAATTCAGGAGTTTACATATATTAACAAAAGTGCACCCCTTTTTCTAATTAGTTAAGCTTTGGGATACTTAGATTTAAGCATTCTTGAGTTTAAATACTATGCTAAAAGACATCCTAAAAAGTCAGAATTTACATAAGACTTAAATAAAAAATATTATAAAACTAGAAGAGAAAACTTAGAGTAGAATCACTCCACAATTAATGCTCTGATATTTTATATAAAGGAACTCCTTCTTTTATAATCATTAGATAATATTTTATGTTTTGTTGATATTATAAAATATTGCAAGAAAGGTAGTTGATTTAGATAAATATTATTAAATGGTAGTAGAAATCTTTGTAAAGCTAGAGGTATTCTTAAATATAAAATTTATATAGCAAATTATTTTATAAAGGTGGGCTTTATGTTTGTCTATGACGAGCGTTGCCTAAGTTGGGTCTTTTTTCTTTAAATGCCTAAACTTAGGCATAACTTCATTTCACCTAAATTTCCTTATTCTGCTCTACCTGGGAAGATATACAAATCAAAACATTTACCTTTTTATCAGAACTTCTTATTACTTTATTTAATAATACCACTTTTACTAATACAAGTGCTAACAATATCAATATCTCAACTACACACTTTCTCTATTTAATAATTTATTATAATTGTCAAGAGATTAATTAACAAGTTATAGTAAATGAATGTTACAACCTTTTTAACTTTCAATGAAAAAGCTCTTAAAAAAATAAGATATCAATACTAACTTATCATAATGGATCACTTTTGAGAAGTCAAAGCTATTATAATGCTATTAACTACAAATAGACTAGTGTCACTATCAACCATTTTGGGGTTGATTATCATTTAACAAAAAACTTCATAAACACATTGCTTATAATCACAAGGATATAATATAAAAAATATAATGACTTGGTCATCAATCAAGTGATATCACAAACTAAGTCTATGCTACTACCACAAAGGTTTACACTAATATCAAGTGCCAATGTAATCATAAAATATAACATAAATGCCACACTCTATTGAAAGATATTTATAACATTTAACACCACCAACTTCATTCACAATATAAACAATTTCATGCCACTCACTTTTTGACTAAACTTAAAATTAATCTAACACCAAGCTATTTAAAGAGCAATAATGAAGTTCCTTAGAAAAGAATTAAATATTGTAACTTATCAAAATGGTTTAACATTTCACTACTTTCCATCCCATGGCACACCACTCAAAGACCACTATAACCAACACATATCAATGTATGGATTCTTGATTGCATGATATGAATATAAATAATAAAATCATATTTTATTACAAATTATATTTTAGAGAAGAAAAGATGATTCACATGTTTAATCCTTCATCTATGATAATGCTCTTTTTGGATTCAACTTGACTAAATCTCTAGCTTACATTTGCACTACCTTTAGTTCAATCTAAGAAAAGAGTATAAGAAAGAACAACAATAACTACTTGAATTGATAGATTAATTCCTATAGTCTTGATTGATCCATTTATAATTTTACCTAGGAAGGATTTACTAGTAGCTACAAACCATACCACTTATAGCAAATCTGATGAAGGTTTATTTCTACCTATGGTAAGATAGTAATAATTCATAGTAGCAATTCATAATAGCAATTTATGGTAACCATTAAAAGGCTAACATTAATCCTACCAGCTTAAAGTATAATCTTATTTTGCTAATATATCTCACTCATTTGCCCAAACATAAACTTATAAAAATGATACATCTTAAATCTATCTTATGAGCTCTCATACAATATAGTTCAAAATGATAATGAAAATCTACTCTAGCAACCACATGCATACCCATTCAAATTATCATTTTCATCTCTTTATATACAATGAGACTAATTACCCAATCTCATTAGATAGTATTATGATAAATTACTATGGGATAAAGAACTTTAACCCTTGGACATGCATGCTAAAGGCAATGAAGTGGGGCTTGAGTTTCAGAGCCTTGTGCCAAACAAAAGGATGGAGGCAAACTTTAGAAGATATAATTAAGGAGTGAAAGAAAAAAAACATAGAGCAACATTGAAATAGTTTTAGAGTTTCTAACATTCTAATGCCAAAATAAACACTCAAAACAAAGCTAAATAAAATGTAGTGTTATTTAGCATATAAGTGATTTAACGTGAGGATATAAATACTTCACCAACTAGCATGGTATGGAGTTTAGACTTAGACCTAAATCAGATGTAAAACAAGAACATATACACATAACAGAAAATCAAACTATGTTTCAAGTTGATCAATTATGCTTGCTTTACCCATTATCCCTATTATACATTTAGAATTCCCTATATACCCCATTTTATATAAAAGCATGCTTTAGGCTTTCACTCTAGTCCCAAGAGTTTTTATAACAAGCTTAAAAACTTACTAAATATGGAATGATGTTAGATTATGAATTTAGACATGAGACCAACACCATCATGTTCAATACAATCTCTACATTTTGTAAATATGTCCAATTGGCAAATCTAGGCACTTTCCATAAATAACTAATTAAACTAAAATAGGATCAATACATAAAGAATGATAGTGAAAGTGCATTGGTGGACACAATAAACTATCACTTAACAAATATTAAGAGACTTGGCTCAATGTTGTAAGGTTCTTAACACTAGCAAATGCAAACAAACAACATAAATTTTTCATCACTATATCAAATATGGTTGACTAAATAATAATTTAGAATTTCCTTCCTTAGTGCCCTTTCAATCTAAGTGCATATATGCTAATTAGTTTCTCAATTAACTTGGGTAAAGATTGATAAAGGGTCTAGTAATATCAAGCTTTTGTTGTTGTGGTAGTAAAAGAAAAATATTTGAAAATACTCATTAGCAAATAGCTTTTGATACATAAAACACATTTGTGACACTCTCCTTTTTTCTTTCTCTTTTTTTGTTTTTAAGAAGCTTATTGTTTTAGTGTTAGTGATTTTCTAGATGAGTATTTCATGCTGTTAGTAGTTGTTATGCTCAATATTCAATGTCACAATATGCAAATTTAGATTTGCTTTTATAAATGATGTTTAAAAGGCTCAAAAAGTTGAGTTGTAGATCTAAAGGCTTTGATGTTTTTGAAAATCCTATATAGTTTACTAATGACTTAACATTTCAATATTTTCATTTTTAATATTACTTTGAGGATGACCTTTTTTATTTGGTAGGGACTACTATTAGTGGATCTACATCTGCCAAACTCATAATATTCCTCATTATGCTGCAAAAGGATGGTTCCATTATAGTGAATAACTCATAAGTGGATTCAAAGATGGTTCCATTATAGTCAATAACTCATAAATGGATTCTCTTGGACAATAATTCCAAGACCATTGATGTAGAGTTCCATTATAGTGAATAATTTATAAGTGGATTCTCTTGGATAATAATTCAATTGATACTTCATTATATAAACTTTTATATGTGTAAAATTTTAAATTTAGACTTTTCAAAAGGCCATTTAGCCTAATATTATTCAAACTCAATGACATATAACCCCAGATATCCCAAAACTTTGAATTGATTAAAGAAAAAAGTGTGTTTTTGTTCATAGGCCCTTTTCTTTTATATTTGAACTACCTTTATAAATTGTTTCTTGAGTTTTTTTTTTTTATAATAATGAACTAGTTATGCTAGGATTAGTATTTAATGAGCATTTTTCCATTGGTTTTAGTGAAGTATAACATTATTTTACTTAAGAAAATTATAATCCTCTTTCCCTCTCCACACAATATAAATCAAAACTAGACCTTAGCCACAAATTTTTTGAATGGACAATAGTTATATCATATGAAGAATATCATAATAGATGGGCATGGAAGATAGGCATAGCTACAATATAAACTCATAGAATCCACAGAATGGGTATTGGATTCTCAGTCATTCTGCCAAGGGCTTGATGGAATATGCTAAGGTGTCCAAGAAAACCAAGCCAATCAGGATCTGCCAGGACTGCATGTGTGCTTGTGAGGCAGATGTATGAACACCAATTTTATGAATAACACACATAGCCTTTATAGACAGTATTATGGTTTGTATTTTATTTGATGTTTGAGGTGGGTTAACCAAAGCCAGAATTGGGCATATGCAAGAGAACAAATTTGGATACAATAGTGACTAACAACTATCCTATTACTGTCTAGAATGGGCAACCCGCTATTCTGGCAGTTAACAAGTGTGCATGTGACCTTCATGGGGTTGTGCCTGAGTGGTTAAGACATGTGGCCAATCTTCTGGTCGAGTGCACATGTTCTCAAGAACAATAGGTAAAGAGCTATTCTTGGCTATAACATTTTTAATCCAACAGATACAGACGGTACGAGGCATGGACATTAGAATTGATCAGTACCAACTGTACATATAGTGAGCCACATTCCCATTGCATCAAGTGCACATCAACCTGCATTCATAACAGAATCCTAAAGTGATTCATCTGTAGCAAATTTAGGCTCTCTACTGCATTCTTGCTCTTTTAGCTATAGCTAAAAGATTGTGAGGCATTTGTAGCAGACCCTTGTGGTTTTGACACGAGCCATGCCTGCTCCACCAGGAATATTTGGAGGAATATTTCATGATGGTTTGGTGTGTTCACTCCATCCTATGCAGAATACAAGGACTTGACTTGGCTCGCTATAAAATCAGATGCTGGATTTAGGTTTTTCACAATCTTCAAGCTGAATGAAGCTTGATTCCGAAATGTGCCTGGCTTTTGTTGTTCTTCTGCTTCTAATCATGATCGCCTCCTCATTCCTCGGAAAATTGCAAGCTCAACATGGTCGGCTTCCACCAGGTCCTATGCCTCTCCCAGTTTTAGGATCACTTCTTTCTCTCAGGAATCCACTGCATCGTCACTTTGCAAGCCTCACAAAGATCTATGGACCCATAATCCACATCAAGCTCGGGCTTGTGTCTTGCATAGTTGTGAACAGCTCTGACATGGCCAGGGAGGTCCTGAGAGCTCATGATGTGGAGTTTGCTTACAGGCCTCTTTCAAAATTTGGAGAGTACTTCAGCTTCAGATGGAAAGATGTTGTGCTTGCTCCTTACGGAGAGTCCTGGAAGAACATGAAGATGATCACGGCTCAACACTTGCTGAGTCCCAGCAGGCTGGATGCTGCTGCTGCTTACCAAGAATCTGAAATGGCGCTCGTGGTCAAAGATGTTGGACGTCTTGCCACCGCCTCCAAAGTCATCAATCTCAAACATTTCATTGATAAGTTTGTCTCTGGTGCGTTTTGCCAAGTTCATACGGCCACTTGATTGTCTTGATCTCCATGGAGTGAACCGGAGAATGAGGGATGATCTGATGCCAAAGTTGGAGTCTCTTCTTGCTGATATTATCCAAGAACACAAACAGTACAAACTCGACATTGAATCCTCGGGCCAGGAATTCATTCCCAAGGACTGGACGGTGCTTCTGTCTCTCCAAGACGCTGCTGATAATAATCTCTCAGATATATCAATTATGGCCCTCCTCACTGTAAGTATCCGCAAAGTTCTTCATGGCTATGTCGGATGTTTGTTTCAGGATCTGGTTGCAGCGGGAATTGACAACATGAAGGGAGCTGTAGAGTGGGCGATGGCAGAAGTGATTCAGAACCCCCCTGTCATGCAAAAAGCGCAGGAAGAAATCCAAGACGCAATCGGGACCGAGCGCCTCCTAAGGCCTTCAGATGTCCCCGGCTTGCCTTACATGCACGCAATCCTGAAAGAGGTGTTGCGACTTCATCCAACAGGCCCACTTGGAGTCCCTCATTTTAATCCCACGGAAGCTGTTCTAGCTGGCTACAGGATTCCGAAAGGGTCCACCGTGCTCATCAACATCTGGGCAATTGGACGAGATCCAAAACACTGGCTTGACCCAGAAGACTTCCGTCCTGAACGCTTTCAAGGAACCGAGATCAAGGTGGTCGGACAAGAAGCGCAGCTGGAGATGATCCCATTCTCTGCTGGACGCAGGATGTGCCCGGGGCATCCAGTTGCCGTTCGTTTCATCCCCTTTGCAGTTGCCAGCCTGATTCATGCCTTTGATTGGAGCCTTCCACCGGATCAAAACTCGGTCGACCTGATGGAGAAGGGTGGTACAATCGCAAGCAAGCTGGCTTCAGAGCTAACAGCTGTTGCAAGTCCCCGGTTGAGCTGCAAATCTCTGTATGAACGAGGAATTCAACTGCCCCAATCTTTGACTTTGATTGCGAATGCCAATCGTTTTCCGGAGCCACTGGCACCAATATTCCTTTGGTTCTGGGATTTGAACCAATCTAATCTATGGTACCTTCCTGGTGGAAGCCGATCGTGTTTAGCTTGCGATTTTCCGAAGAATGAGGCGGCGATAATTAGAAGCAGAAGAACAAGAACAGCCAGCCACATTTTTGGAATTAATCCAATGGAAGATGTGAAAAACCCAAGTTCAACATCCTTGCAGGAGGATACGACGTATGGCTACACCAGTTTCCTGGGCCATACGACCACACGTTCCACGAAGGTCATGATCAAGTTGGCCGATTAACTACAACCACTGTTCTCGTATATGCGCAGAGCCAGATGTCGAACGATCGGCCCTCTCACGCTTACGACCACATGCGAAGTCCACAATATGATCCGGTCAGTGATCCCAATCCAAGGTACGTACATATTATTCATGTTGGATCCATCTGCGCATAAGAGATGACTAGAAGCTCATCCCCCTCAGGAGCAATGGCATGCACCATGACCTGAGACTACTTGAAAATAATGAGGAAGAAGATATCGTTCCTGAGCGTTGTTCTACAGATTAGTCTCGCTAAAATTTCCAAGCTCTTTTCCTTGCCACCTTTAACATTTGGAATCTCTCGCATTAACTTGTCTAACATCAATTCTCTCTATGTGGAGCTACTTTTCAATGGCAACAATTCACAACACGGGTTGATGAAATAACTGGACGATTGAGCTCTTCAAGAACTGAGGTTAGTCTTCGACAGGATCAAGCTCCACCCAGGCCATTCATGCCAATGGATGATTTCAGTGGTTTTGCGGGCCAGCCAGTGACATGTGGAAAGAGTTTGCACCATGCACGCCAGCTAGCTCGCGGATTTGCAGCTCGTATAGGAGGACTGGAACCTGCTAGTTTTCTAGTTAAATGACATACTCTGTTTTCCCCTAACTACCACTTTGTCATTTTCTCCATGTACATATATACAAGTCTTGTGTCCGCTCATTTCAGCGTCCACATGAATCTCTTGCCACCTTGGATTAGACTCCAGGCTGGCTATCTACACTCCCACTCAGCTGTGAGAGTCTATAATGCTCGTATCTTCACAATGTTGTTGAAACTTGCCTTTGCTCAAAGCTTTTGTCATAATGTCTGCTGTCATTTGCTTCGTCAAAACATATCTCAGCTGCACTCTGTTGAATAAATGTACATTTATCTCGAAGTGTTTGGTGCGGCCGTGGAACTTTGGATTCTTCAACAACTCGATCGCGCTTCGATTGTCACAAAACAAAGTCACTGGCTGCTGCACTGGAACACCAATCTGCTCCAGAAAATCTGTAAGCCACCTCACTTCTTGAGCTACTGTTGTTGCACTAATATATTTGGCCTCGGTGGATGAAAGTGCTGTGATTGCTTGTCGCTTGCTGCTCCAGCTGACAAGTCCACCACCCAGGAAAAATAGATATCCTGAGGTTGATCTTCTTGTGTCCTTGTCACCGGCCCAATTCGAGTCTGTAAAGCTGACAAGTTGCATACTCCTGGAGCTCCCACTACTGCTAGACACTCTGTTGTAGCTCAATTGATATCCCACTGTACCTTGTAAATACTTAAAAATTCGTTTAACAGCACTCCAATGACCTTCTCCTGGATTCTTGAGAAATCTTAAAACTGCTCCAATTGCAAATCCCAAGTCTAGTCTGGTACTGATGGCTAGATAAATAAGGCATCCAACTGCTTGTCAATATGGAACTCTCGCCATCACTGCTTTCTCCTCCTTGGAGTTGGGACTTTGCTCAATAGACAGCACAAGACCTGGATCCATTGGCGTCGCCATGGGCTTGCAATCTTGCATGTTGAACTTGTGCAAGATTTCTTCAACATAATGTGCTAGAGAGCTCGATGACTGCTGCTTCTCTGTCCCAAAGCACCTGGATCCCAAGGCAATAAGAAAGACATTTAGTCGCTGAAATCTAAAATTGGGATAAGAACTGTCGCTCAAAATAGCTGACGATTGTTGGCAGATGTGCTGCCGTTGACATATAGAGCTAGAATAGAAAATGCATCTCCAAAGCTAAAATATACACATTGCTATCTGCAAAAATCTACTTAAAGCCAATGGAGGAAAGAAACCTGTTCAACCATGCTCTAGGAGACTACTTCAAACCATATAGTGCACGCTTAAGTTGACATACCTTCTGCTCCTGTCCTGGGATGGAGGAAAGAAACCTGTTCATGTGCTCGTACCATGCTCTAGGAGACTACTTCAAGCCATATAGTGCACGCTTAAGTTGACATACCTTCTGCTCCTATCCTGGGATGATGAATCCATCTGGCTGTCTCCTCCTTAAGCTCACCATATAAAAACACCGTCTTGATATCAAGAATATGCTGCAAGACAGAATAGAAGACATTTTAGCCACTGGTGAAAAAGTCTCAGAGGTACTTGACTAAATCCTCTCGCTACAAAGCGAGCTAGATGTCAAGTCACTGCTCCAGCGGCATCCAATTTGCGCTTGAATATCCACTTGATTCTAACGATTTTCCTGCCTGGTGGGAGAGAAACAAGCTCCCAAACGTTGTTACATATCAAAGAGTTGTACTCCTGCATAGCGGCCTTCCACTGTCCTGCTTCTGGTGATTGGAGAGCTGCACAAAATGTGCATGGTTCAAATTGACAGCAATTTGAGGCTGGAGTCTTGAGCATCACGAGCTGCTTGCAATAAATAGCTAACTCTCCCACTGTGTGTCACAGTCCCAGAATAATTGGATCGGCTTCTTGCTGAGATCTTGCAGCCACGGGAGTACTAGGCAGCTGCCCTGGAGGAGACGACTCCTCCTCTGGTTCATCAACTGCTTCATCGTGACAGGACTGGGCAGGAAGCTGCTGCTCTGCTTCGACTTGCTGCTGAGGCTGAGGCTGCTGAACTCGCGGCTGCTGCTGGCCGTGCACTTGCGGCTGCGGCCCATATGCCCTAGAAACGTCCTCTTCATCATAAAATAAAACATAATATGGAGTCTCAGGATTTTTATAACGATGCTTGTAAAGAGATTTCTCATCAAACTTGACATCTCTGCTGATAAGAATTGATCTGGTGGCCATGTTGTAAAGACGATAAGCTTTAGTCTCGAGACAATAGCCAACCATGATGCTCTTCGGCTCCAATTTTCTGCAATGACTGTTAGAAACTTTCTCATAAGCTATGCATCCAAAAACTCGTAGATGTCTCAAGCTGACTTGCTTCCTGGTTCAAAGACGATAAGGAATATCTGCAAGAGGCTGGGTAGGCACTCGATTGCGATCGCCTCGGCCCAGAACGATAGTGGCATTCCTGCGTGAATAAGCATGCTACGTGCACTCTCCATAAGAGTCCGGTTCATTCTTTCAGCAACTCCATTTTGAGCAGGACTATCTGGAGCTGTAAACTGCTGCTGGATACCACTCTCATTGCACAGCTTCATAAAATTTCGTGACTTGTGCTCGCACCTCTGTCACTGCGTAACGTCTTGAGCTTCTTGCCAAGAAGATTTTCAGCAGAAGCCTTGTAAGCTTTAAAGTGATCAAGAACTTTAGATTTCTTGGCCAAAAGTCTCATGACTTTGTAGCGTGTGTAGTCATTGATGAATGTAAGAAAATACCTCATTCCACGATGACTTTGGATATGGAGAGGCCCACACACATCTCTGTGACCGAGCTCAAGAGGCTGACTGCTCTTGGATTCTGAAAACTTTGGAAATGATGTGCGTGCTTGTTTTCCTAGCACACAAGCCTCGCAAAATTCAAGCTTGCCTGTAAACTCGAATTCTTGATCTCTGGACACTGCTTTGAGGGCGTCTTCATGCACATGATAATAGCAAAAAAGGCAAAACGAAAAACTAGGGCAAATCGGCTCTTTTAGGGTTAGGGTTACATTTGACACGTGGCGTCAATGTAGGGGTGTTATGTTTTAGGGCAAAGCAAAGCTCCATGGCGATGTTCTTCGCGAGGAAGGCCGGTCTCCTCCCTAAGATCGCCCCACACAGCAGGCGCCCAGTCGCCTCCACTCTCCCCGCCGCCATGCCCAAGCTCCAAGAAGCCCGCCCCGCCGCCAAGCTCGAGTCCCTCAAGCACGTCCCCAAGCCGCCCAACATGAAGAGCTTCGCGATCTACCGCTGGGACCCCGACAACACGCGCAAGAAGCCATCGCTCCAGGTCTACTCGCTCAACACCAACGATTGCGGCCCCATGGTGCTGGACGCGCTCATCAAGATCAAGAACGAGATGGATCCCACTCTCACCTTCCGCCGCTCCTGCCGCGAGGGGATCTGCGGCTCCTGCGCCATGAACATCAATGGCAAGACCGGGCTGGCCTGTCTCACCAAGATGATCGTCGACGCGGGGGAGGAGACCACCATCACCCCGCTGCCGCATTTCTACGTGATGAAGGACTTGGTGGTGGACATGACCAACTTTTACCAGCAGTACAAGAGCGTGGAGCCGTGGCTCAAGAAGAAGAGCCCGCCGCCGGGCGGGACGAGGGAGTTCCTCCAGAGCAAGCACGATCGGGAGAAGCTGGATGGCATGTACGAGTGTATACTTTGCGCGTGCTGCAGCTCGTCGTGCCCGAGCTACTGGTGGAATCCGGAGAAGTTCCTCGGCCCGGCTGCTTTGCTACACGCTCACAGGTACGATCGCTTACTTTTCTTCTGTTTTCGCTGCTTGGCTTGGAGACTTGGAAGAGATTTCTTTCTTTTCTTCTTTGCTTTGGACTTATATCTGGGTCTCTTTACGTTTTTTGGGTTTTTTTCTTCTTCTTGACACGCAGGAGTTTGTTTTTCTTTGGTGTGTCAGTAATCAAAGCTTTTACCGAATTGTGGCTTTGTGTTTAGCTTTTGGTGGAGTTTCTTGCTCGAGCTGCATTGGAAATCTTCTCACACTTTTTATTTTTATAATATTGTTTCCTTTGTCGTGAGTGGAAGTTTTTCTAAGATCATCTTGTTCAAGATCTTCTGTCCATGTCTACATCCCTTTCCCAATCTTCCGGCTCCTGATTGGTAATTGCAGCTTGGCTTTTTGTTCGTTGTTCTTTGTTCTTGCTGCCGGAGAACAAAGTGCTCCTATTCTCCGTATTTATTGGCTTTGCTTTCTCTATTATCATCCTCTGACCTGGTATAACCCCGTCTCTAAAGGTGGATCGCCGACAGCCGAGACGAATACCGGAACGAAAGGCTCCAGTCGGTCGAAGGCGATTACAAGCTCTACCGCTGCCACACAATCCGAAACTGCGAGAACGCGTGCCCCAAGAGCCTGAGCCCCGCCAACCAGATCATCAAAATCAAGGGCCTCATGCACAACTAAATACTTGTTCGGGACTTTCCTTCTTTCCGTTCTCCTATCCTTCTCAAAGGCTTGTTCTTTTGTCCAGGATTTGAAGCACAGAAGTTTCCATGCCACTGTTGTTGTGATTTATCCCTCCAGTCAAAGTGTCATGTGAGTGAGCGGGTCACCTCTGCAAGTCAAGCTCTTGAATCTCTCTCTCTCTCTCCCTTCTGGATCGTCCGGAGGAGAGGTTCCACCTTCAGTGCTAGCAAAGTCGGATACGTTGCTTTCCTCTGTTTCACTCGCTCCTCAGCTGATCCAGCGCGAGACACACCAGCGCAAGCGCGAATAGAAACTCTGCGAGCCACAAGCGTCCGCGTCGAAGCAGTGCGCTTTCGCTCTTGCTCACATACTTACGTGCGTCACTGGCGGCGAGCGGGGAAGGAAGGGAGCTCAAGGCAGGCCCTCCGGGAGTGACAAGCGGCCTTTTGCAACACAAAGTGGGGGCCTGGGCGCTTTTATGGACCGCGAACACGCAAAAAGTGAGAATCGCATGGGCTTGGCTCTCTGCCAAACACCATTTTTCCCGAGAGAGAGAGAGAGAGAGAGATTGGATTTTGTCAACCCTTTGGCTGACTGACAGGTTGAGGATTTGCTTTGGAAAGCAAGCAAGGTTTCTTTAGCTTGGGTTTCGTTTTCGCCAGAGTCTCGAGCAGTGGACAAGATGCCTACGAGTAGGCTTGAAAATGCCGTCTCACCTATCTCCTTTTGGTTAGTCGTTGATCGCGTAACAAAGCCAACTTTGCCGATAATCCTCACCCTTGTCTGAGATACACATAGTTTCGTCGCTATAAAGAGAGGCGTCGTTTACTCTCGGCAAGATCACAGTGGTTTTTTTCTTCCTCTTGTGCGCTTTTCTCTCCTCTTCTCAAACTCACAACTTGAGAACCAAAAGGAAGAAGAAAAACCAAAGCTCTAGCGCCTGCGCTGCTTGCTTCCGAGAGTTTGCGAGCTCTTCGTTGCTGGTTCGTTCGTTCGTTCGTTCCTTCTTTCCTCGCTAACTCGACTCGGTCGAACAGGAAAGACGATCATGACGATCCAGGATTTCCAGAGCAGTGGAAAGGCCACAGTCCTGGCCGTCGGCACCGCGGTTCCGCCAAAAGAGTTCGACCAGAGCACGTACCCCGACTTCTACTTCAACGTCACCAATTGCAACGACAAGGTGGAGCTCAAGGGCAAGTTCCAGCGCATCTGTAAGTCCTCCACCCTCGGATGCCCGGTCCCGGCATTCCCCGCTCACGTAGAAAAATCTCGTTTCTTCGTAGCAAAGCTTCTCGCTTCTGATCACGTCGTCCCTGGATTTCGTTTCTGCGCATTGCAGGTGACAGGTCAGGCATAAAAAAGAGACATTTTTACCTGGACGAGGAGATCCTCAAGGCCAACCCGGGGATGTGCACGTACATGGGGGCGTCGCTGGACGTGAGGCAGAACATCGCGGTGCGGGAGGTTCCAAAGCTGGCCAAGGAGGCGGCCCTCAAGGCGATCAAGGAGTGGGGGCAGCCAAAGTCGAAAATCACGCACTTGGTCTTCGGCACCACCAGCGGGGTCGACATGCCTGGGGCCGACTTCCAGCTCCTCAAGCTCCTCGGCCTCCGCCCGAACGTCAAGCGCATCATGCTCTACCAGCAGGGCTGCTCCGCCGGTGCCACCGTCACCAGAGTCGCCAAGGATCTGGCCGAGAACAACCCCGGAGCTCGAGTCCTCGTTGCATGCAGCGAAGTCACGGCGGTCACCTTCCGGGCTCCGTCCGAGACGCACCTCGACGGACTGGTCGGCGCGGCTCTGTTTGGCGATGGTGCCGCGGCTCTCATCATCGGCTCCAATCCCACTCCCGTCGAGAAGCCACTGTTTGAAGTCCACTGGAGCGGACAATGCGTTCTTCCCGACAGTGATGGAGCAATTCTGGGACACCTGCGCGAGGCCGGCCTCGTCTTCCACCTCCTCAAGGACGTCCCCGGCATCATCTCCAAGAACATCGAGAAGCTGCTGGCAGAGCCTCTCGACTATGTCAAGAGCGTGGACGAGGCGAGCCCGGCCTACACTGACTTGTTCTGGGTGGTCCATCCCGGAGGTCCCGCGATTCTCGATCAGGTAGAGGCCAAGCTCAAGCTCGACAAGGACCGGATGCAGGCCACTCGCGACGTGCTAGCACAGTATGGAAACATGTCGAGCGCCTCTGTTCTCTTTGTTCTCGACCAGATGAGGAAGCGGTCCGTGGAGCTCAACAAGGATACCACCGGGGACGGATTGAAGTGGGGTGTGATGCTCGGTTTCGGCCCCGGTCTCACGGTTGAGGCTCTGCTCCTCAAGAGCATCTAGGCAAGATTTGCAGTGCCCGAAAAACAACATAAAAGGTGAGGGGGTGTCAGTAGATCATGCATTACAGGAGGAAGACAAAGTACTACCATGAAGTACAAACAAAAGTTGTTTGTAGAAATGCAATCGAAGAGTCACGAGCAAGATGGATTTCCTAAGCACGAATAAAAACAGAAAGAAAACCGTGAGCAAGATGAAGAAAATGTGTTTGTAATTTTACGTACTCGAGCAGAGGCCGACCATAAAGAAGTTATCCTTCATTTCGTACTGTGGCGTGTCCAACCGTTCCATCTCAGGATCCATGAAAGCAATGCCCGACCGGCACTCAACGTGTTATTGCAAAGGCGGGTCCAGAAAAGATTTAACAGGCACTGTTGACACATACCCCAAATGAAGCTTCCAGCCACTTCCAGTCCGTGGTACCTGAAACACTAGTTACAAAGATTGGAAGGGAAGGTGAAGAAAGAGAGAAATCCCTCTTACCTTTATCAAATGGAAAGACTTAACGATTAGACGTAAGGCCGACTAAGTGCTGTGCTGACGAAGTATTTTCCTGTAGATAGCCGACAAAGTTATCAGCACAGTACTGAAAGATCTTAGGCTTGCCTTGACTTTCAACCACTGGCGCTCACTCGTCCGCGTCGCCCGAGAAGATACTTGTGAGAAGCGAGTACGGGGCGGGCACCACTTGATCCAGCTCCATGGCACTAGTTGCAACTCGGACTCCACGCTCGGCGTCGAAACAAGTCTTACAGGCGCCGAGAAGTGCTGTCCATGCCACGACATCGGCATGAAATGGCATGTTGTTGATCAAGTCCTCTGAATCGTCCAGGTCACCTTGGCGTGCCAGAAGATCGACCATCGCCCCGTAAACCTCCGGCGTTGGCGTGACTCCGTGGTCGAAGCTCATGGACCGGAAGTAGTCCCAGGATCTGTCCACGAGCCCCTCGTGACTGCATCCGGGGAAGAGGCTCATAAAAGTGACGCTGTTCGGTTCAACGCCATCCAGGATCATGCTATGGAACAGTGACAGTGTCTCCACCCCCTGTCCCTGCTGAGAGTAGGCCGAGAGCATCGCGTTCCATGCAACCACCGGCTTGAGCTTCATCCTGTCAAACAGCTCCCGAGCTGCTCCAAACTTCCCACACTTTCCGTAGAGGTTGACGAGTGCCACCAGTATCACGTCGGAAGCCACAACTCGCGATTGGATTGCCTTCCCCTGCAAGAAGTCCCCAGCGGCAGTGCAGGCTCCGAGGACGTTGATGAAGGTTATGTCGTTGGCCTTGCAGCCCTCTAGCTCCATCCGCTGGAACAGCTTCAAAGCCTCCCTTCCGTGGCCAAGCTGCACGTATGCCTCTATCATCGCTGTCCACGAGACGACCGTCTTCCAGGCGAGTCGATCAAAGACGGACCTTGCGCTCTCCACGCTACCGCATTTGCTGTACATGTTCACGAGAGCCGAGCCCACGACCGGGTCCTGCTCGAATCCCCCGGTAAGGACTCGCCCGTGAATGGCTGCTCCCTCTGCCAGAGATTCAGCGTCACAGCAAGCTCCAAGAGCATTGATGAAAGTTACCTCGTCCTGCTGCACGTCCATGCGATGGAAGTAGCGGAGAGCCCCGTCCATTTGCCCGTGCTGGACGCACGCCCCGATGATGGCGTTCCAAGACGGGGTGTTTCTTCTCGGCATTGTGTCGAAGGCTCGCCGGGCAGCCTCCAAACTTCCACACTTGCTATACGCAGTGATGAAAGTGTTTTGCAATATGATGTCTGCCTCGATGCCGCAAGCTAGCACACGATCCTGGAGATCGGATCCCACCGAAAGCATCTCTTTTCCCGAACAACCGGTCAGGAGCGACGTAAAAGTGATGTTGTTGGCCTTCACTCCATCCAGGTCCATGAGATGGAATGTATGAACAGCTCCACCACCATATCCATGCTGAGCGTAAGCTCCAATCATGGCATTCCATCCAGCCAAGTCCCTGTGCTCCATTCTATCGAACACCGCTCGAGCATCCTCCAGGCTCCCACACTTCCCATACATGTTAACCAGCGCGTTCCCCAGAGTTTTTCCAGCGAAAACCTGTGACTGGAACCCGGCAGCTATGATCCCAGCGTGAATCCTCCTTCCTTCTTCGATATCCCCCAGCGAAGAGCACGCATCCAGCGCGCTCACGAAAGTTATCTCTGTCGGCCTCACGTCCATCCTGTGGAAGAGCTCTAGCGCTTGAGCTCCATACCGCTCGTCCTGAGCGTAGCAGCCGATCATCGATGTCCAAGACACGACGTCCCTCCTCCACATCCTGTCAAACACCGCCTTGCCATCCTCGGCGCTCCCACACTTCCCATACGTGTGGATGAGAGCATTGCAAAGTACCACATCCTCATCCACGGCGTTTTGGCGATGATGCGTGACGTGCGAGTGGATCCTCTTGGCCTCTTCCAGGTCTCGCAGATTGGAGCACGCCCCAAGAACTGCGAGGAATGTGACCCTGTTTGGCTGCGCATCCATCTCGTAGAACATCGCCACCGCGTCCTCGAAATGCCCGTTGTTGGCAAATGCCGCGATGGCGATGTTCCACGAGTAGACATTCTTGTGCCAGATTCTCGCAAACGCTGCCTGCGCCGCTGCCAAATCGCCACACCTCCCATAGACCTGGACTAAGACATTCCCAAGAAACGTCCCCCTGTCACGGCCGCTGGCTTTCGCGTGATCGTGGATGAGCTTCGCATCCGCGGATTCACCACATTTCCGGAGGAAAGCAGCGTAGGCGCTGTCGAGCTCGTCGCCACGGGCGCCGATGTGATCTAGCGCTTCTCGCAGGCCGGCGCTCGCGATTATGCGCTTGTCTGGATCGAAAGCCGCTAGATCGGACGCGAAACGGAAGAATCCCGACACACCATACACCGACGATCGCGGCAGCGCCTTCCCCGCCTTCCCGAGCATTCAAGAGCATTTGCCCTAACTGTCCACGTGGAAGCCACGCGTAAAAACGAAGTACACGTGTTGATTAAAAGTTGACGTGGAGGCCACGCATGACAAACAGTCGTGACTCGAGGAGAATTTCATCCCCTGGAGAGTATAAAAAAGAAGAGGGAAGAAAACGAACGAACAAGCATGGCGGAGGACGACCGAGAACATCGCAGTAAAGATCGAGACCCGCGGCAGCATTTTGGAGACGCCAAGAACGCTGGAAGTGAGGGGTAAATCTTCTCTTTTCTCGATCAAATTCTTTTCCTTGGATCGCGTTGCTCCCTCTATAAAAGTTTGCCTGCTTGATCATCCTGCGATGAGATGCATCCTTAGAGTTTGCAAGTATAGGTATCAAGCGTTTGCTTACACTGCGTATCTTTTCTTGATCAAATTCTTTTCCTTGGACCGTGTTGCTCGATCTCGAGAAGTTTGCCTGCTTGATCATAGATTCATTCTTTGAGTTTGGAAAGTAGCGAAGAGAGCTCAAGCGTTTGCTTACACTGTGTAAGTTGTGTCGTCGTTACAGCCTAGCGAAAGCGAGAGAGGCAGCTCAAGCTCTGAGCCAGGGCCTTGGAGCAGCTCTCGGGATAGCAAAGGACGACGCACAGGAGAGCTACTCTGGAGCCAAAGAGAAAACAAAGTCAGCATACGAGAACGTCAAGAGCAAGGCCAACGAGCAAAAGGTAGCAGCACAGGAAACTATCGGGGAGGGACAAGAGCGAGCCAGGAATCTCTACGAGAATGCAAAGATCAAGGCTAGCGAGAAGAAGGTGGCGGCGCAGGAGAGCATTGGGGAGGGACAAGAGCGAGCCAGCAACGCTTACGAGAATGCAAAGAACAAAGCCGGCGAGCAAAAGGTGGCCGCGCAAGAGAGGATTGGAGAGGGACAAGAGCGAGCCAAAAGTGCTTACGAGAGCACGAAAAACAAGGCCAGCGAGCAAGCGGCAGCGGCACACCAGGCAGCACGGGAAGCCGAGGAGAGACGGGGCGGAGAAGGAGAAGGCTGGTTTCAGCGAGGATTTCTCCTGGCAGCGTATGACAAAGCAGCCGAGGCGATCTCGTCGGCTACGTCAAAACCCGAGGGAGGAAGCATAGGACACGAAGACGCTGCTGAGCGAGGCAAGCAAGTCGCAGGAGACGCTGCGGGGAAAACGAAAGAGACTTCTCACGAAACCAAGAACAAAGGCCAGCAAGCAGTGGAAGGAAACAAGCAACTGTCAAGAGATGCCACAGACAACGCAAAGGAGACTTCTCACGAGGCAAAGCACAGAGGTCAGCAAGCCGTGGATCAAACGTCCAAAGATGCTAGAGAGGCTTCTCTCGAAACAAAGAAAAAAGGCGAGCAAGTACTGGATCAAACGAAAGAGAAAGTTGGCAGTCACGCGGACGAAGCAAGACGCACAGGACGTCAGGTTGCGGATGAAGCGAGAGAGAAAGGGAACGAAGGCAAAGGTTTCCTCCAATCCGTGGCAGATTCTGTAGCTGGATTTGTGACGGGTGAATCCGAACAAGGACGGGAGTTTAGAGGCAAAACCAGAAGCACTATCGACGAAACGAAGCAAAAAGCCCAAGACACTGCGAGTGGAGTGTCACAGAAAGGCCAAGAGTATGGCGATCAAGTGAGGCAGAAAGCGGACGAGGTTAGCAACAAAGGCCGACTTGTAGCTCACGATGCACGGGATAAAATGCAAGACATGAAAGAGAGAGGACAAGGTACAGCCAGTGATCAAGTTCACGAAGAGAAAGGTTTTTTGCAGTCCATCACAGACTCAGCAACTGCGTTTCTTTCGGGTGAATCAGAGGAAGGACGGGCGATCCGGGACAGAATGAAGGACACCGCTGATAGAACATCGCAGGCAGCTCGGGAGAAAGGCCAAGAGTTTGGTGATCAGGCGAGGGAAAAAGCCGACGACACGAGCAACAAGGGACGACAGGTAGCTCACGATGCAAGAAATAAAATGCAAGAAACGAAGGAGAGAGGACAAGGTACAGCCAGTGATCAAGTATATGAAGAAAAAGGTTTTTTGCAGTCCATCACAGACTCAGCAAGCTCGCTTCTTTCGGGTGAATCAGAGGAAGGACGGGAGATCCGGGATAGAATGAAAGACACGGCCGATACAACGTCCCACGATGCTCGGGAGAAAAGCAAGCAGGCTGCCGATAAAACGAGGGAGAAAGCCGACGAGACCAAACAAAAGTCTCACGAGATGGCTGATGCGACGAGAGGTAAAGCTCAAGAGGAGAGGGGATTCATGCAGTCCATAACCGACTCGGTCACTGCGTTTGTCACGGGTGAACCAGACAAGGGACGAGAGATCCAGGAGAAAACCAGGGGAAAAGTTGATGAAACAAAGCAGAAGGCTCACGAGACCTCGGGTGAAGCTCAACGAAAGGGCCAGCAGTTCGCCAATCAGTCGAAACAAAAATCTCAAGACGTAAAAGAGAGAGGACAAGATATGGCTGATGCAGCAAAAGGTGAGGCTAGACAAGAGAAGGGATTTATGCAATAACGGACCGTGCTTGTCTCTGGAGAATCAGACAAAGGACGAGAAATGCAAGAGAAAACGAGAAGCACAGCCGATGAAGCCAAGCAAAAAGGCCGAGAAACTTCGAATGAGGCTCGAGAAAAAGGAGAGCATGTTGTCGATCAAGCAAGAGGAAAGTCGGAACACCACGCTGCTGAGGCTCGGGACAAAGGTCGACAATTTGCTGACCAGTCCAAGCAAAAAACTCAAGACGTGAAAGAGCGAGGACAAGAGATGTCTGATGCAACGAGACGTAAAGCGCAAGAGGAGAAGGGATTCATGCAGTCAATAACAGACTCAGTCACGGCATTCGTCACCGGTGAATCAGACGAGGGGCGAGAGATGCAAGACAAAGCGAGAAGCACAGCTGATGAAGTCAAGCGAAAAGGCCGAGAAACTTCGGATGAGGCTAGACAAAAAGGAAATCAAGTCGCTGATCAAGCAAGAGGAAAGTCAGAACACCATGCCGCTGAAACTCGGGACAAAGGCCGAGAATTCGCAGACCAGTCAAAACAAAAATCTCAAGAAGTGAAAGAGAGAGGACAAGGGATGGCTGATGCAGCGAAAGGTAAAGCGCAAGAGGAAAAGGGATTCATGCAATCGATAACAGACTCGGTCACTTCATTCGTCACGGGTGAATCAGATAAGGGGCGGGAAATGCAAGACAGAACCAGAAGCACAGCCGAAGAAGTAAAGCAAAGGGGCCGGGAAGCTTCAGATGAAGCTCGGCACAAAGGACAGCAAGTTGCTGATCAAGCTGATACAGAGCGAGCTGGAGACAAAGCTCGACAATTTGCTGACCAGTCCAAACCAAAATCTCAAGACGTAAAAGGGAGAGGACAAGAGACAGCAGACGCGGCGAAAGGTAAAGTTCATAACAAAGGCTTCATGAAGTCTGTAACGAACTCGTGAATCAGATAAGGGACGAGAAATGCAAGAGAGAACAAAAAGCACATCCAATGAAGCCAAGCAAAAAGGTCGAGAAACTTTGGATGAGGTTCAACACAAAGGACGGCAGTTTGCTAATCAAGCAAGAGATAAAGCTTACGAAGAGAAAGGCTTCATTCAGTCCATGGCACAATCAGTAGCAGCATTCGTGACGGGAGAGTCCGACCAAGGACGAGAACTCAGAGATAAAGGTCATGAGGCTGCAGATCAAACAAAAGAGAGGTCCAGAGAAACGAGCGACAGCACGAGAGGTAAACTTCATAACTAAAAGAAAAAACGTTGTAACAGGCTCAAAAGTTTGCAGGTGGAGTAAAAGACGTCGTCGAGGAGGCTAAGACGAAAGGCCAAGACGCTGCTGACAGGTCCGAGGGGAGGTGGCACGAGACGAAAAAGACCAGTCAAGAGACCGCTGATAGAGCTAAGCATGAAGCACAAGCCCGGGCGGAGCAAGGAAAAGGCTTCGTACAAGAAAAGATATCACAGGCCAAAGCCAAGTCTGAAGAAGCGCTGGACGATCTCAAAACGAGGATAAACATTAGCAGCGATGAGGCATCTGATCGAATCAGAAAGGCAGGAAAAGGTGTTTATGACACGGCAGATGACGCCGCTGAGGAGGTCAAGGACAAGGGACTGTTGCAAGCTGTGAAAGATTGGGTAAAACAGTCGACAGTTTGATCGAATCACTCTCTAATAACCTTACAGACTGCAGAAAGAGCTCAAAGCGACCAAGAGCTACGAGAGCGAGGGAAGCTAAAGGCAGAAGACATGTTTGGCAAGTCAAGAGAAAAAAGCAGCGAGATAAGTGAGGAAACCAGACGCAAAGACGAAGAAATTCGGGAGCGGGGAAAACTGAAAGCAGAGGGCATGCTCGGCAAAGCGAGAGAGAATACATACGAAAAGAGTGAAAACACCAGACGCGCGGACGAGGAGCTGCGTGAGAAGGGAAAGCTCAAAGCCGAAGACATATTTGGCAAGGCAAAAGAAACAGTTCAAGTCTCCAAGGAAAAGCTTGAGGAAACAAGAGAGAAAGGAAAGCTCAAAGCCGAGGACATGCTGGGAAGTACACACGACAGGGCGCACCAGCACAGACAAGTAGCTGATGATGCTCGTCACAGAGCAACAGAAACAGCCAACGAATCTAAAGAGAAAGCCGAAGACCAGCGGGGACTTCTACAGTCTGGGCTCGCGAAAATAGAACAAGCAGCGTACAACGCAGGACAGATGCTAAGGCAGCAAAAGGATGAGGCTTCTCAAGGCACAGCGGATGCATGGAACGCAACAAAGCAGTACATCAACGACACTCGAGAGAACGTCCAGGCGACTGTTCACGACAGGCAGGAGCGGAGTAAGAGCTTCATTCAGTCAGCTAAGGACGCGGTTCTTTCGAAGCTTGAAAACGCAGCTGGGAGTGGAGAAGATATGATGCATCGAACAAAGGAACAAGCAGCCAGCCGGAGGAGTGATAAGAACAAGCCCGAAGAACGATGACATACCTGAGTTCGCAATAGCTCCTCCCATCATCATCGAGACCAAGTTGCGTTTAGCAATGCTCCGGCGTCCTTCGGCCTGTATAGACACTTTTGAGAAGTAAAAAACATACATTCTTTACCTGACAAACAACCGTCGAAACCGTCGGCCGAACAGCCGGCGATTTCACCTTTCGCGGTTAAGTTTCAAATTCGAAGCACAGAGACGGCACGGACCATGGAAGAACGAGACTGGCAGGAAGAGCTTCATCTTCGAAGAGAAGCAATGGCTCTTTGGGCTGCCATGGTTGCCGAAAGGAACCTCCCATCCCAGTTCTTGGACGTAGCATCCGCACACGCAATGTGAGTTACCTTGGCTAGCTCGGGCTCTGAAAACTCACTGCTGTCCAACCAGAGAAGAAGCCTTGAAAGGACTAACACACGTTCGTCTTGACCGTGAGCACATCCTGTTACTAGAGCCTGCCTTCTTCCTGTGCCTACGAAATCTAACCAGCCTATATCTCCAAGAGGTAGTAGTCCACTATCTGTCCATCCTTCTGAAATAACCTGACCTGTTTTACTGAAGAACGAGCTCACAACCTTGAATGGCATAGAAGCCGCCAAGCACCTGCAATTCCTCACCGTTTCTGGGAACCACCTTACCAGTTTGCAAGGTCTGCAATCACTGCCAAAGCTCGCTTTCCTTGACGCCTCCAACAATTCTATCAGCCACGTTGATCCAGGTGAGCGGGCTTTCTACTCCGAAACCTTTTGTTCATGTGCTTCTTCAGATCTGGAACTCCCCAAGTCGTTGATGTTCTTGAACATATCGCAAAATCAATGCTGCAAGCTTCAAAGTCACCTCGAAGAGAAACT